ATGTAAGTTTACAGATTTGTGGGACTCCCCAATGTAAGTTTACAGATTTGTGGGACTCCCCTATGTAAGTTTACAGATTTGTGGGACTCCCCAATGTAAGTTTACAGATTTGTGGGACTCCCCATTTAAGTGTACAGATTGGTGGGACTCCTCGATGTAAGTTTACAGATATGTGGGACTCCCCTATGTAAGTTTACAGATTTGTGGGACTCCCCGATGTAAGTTTACAGATTTGTACGACTCCTTGATGTAAGTTTACAGATATGTGGGACTCCCCTTTGTAAGTGTACAGATTTGTGGGATTCCCCTATGTAAGTTTACGTATTTGTGGGACTTCCCGATGTAAGTTTACAGATTTGTATGACTCCCCGATGTAAGTTTACAGATTTGTACGACTCCACGATGTAAGTTTACAGATTTGTTGGACTCCCCGATGTAAGTTTACAGATACAAATTTGTACAACTCCCGATGTAAGTTTATAGAAAAAAGATTATACAGAGATTGTAATGTCAGGTACCACAACAGAAATAGATAGGAGATTTGGTTTAATTCAAAATCAAACAGTTCAAGGTTGTATGTCTAAGTCCCAAAATAATTCTTCAGCTAAAAGCATTTCTGATGACAAAAATAAACTTTACTTTAAAATATTTTCTTTTGCAGTATTTGGAGGTACAGCCAGATGATGGGTTTGGAACACTGCTGCCTTTGGAGACCATAGACCTGGAGGTCATATTTAGTCCAAAGAAAGCGCGGGATTATAAATTTGAGTTGAATTGCAAGTCACTGATTAACAGGTAGGAACTAGTACTGCCTTTATTGTTAAATACATCATTAATTCAGGATCATTAATTGATGTATTACTTTAAACAGAAGATTTTTGTTTGGATAAAATGTATTTAACCGTATATTTCCAAATTTTAACTGTTCACAGTGTTGTCTGGAAAAGCAACAGTATTTCTGATAGAAGGAGATGTTTGATATGCTGATGAGAAATACACAGTAGTATCACATGCTCAGGGCTGACTTTTTGTAACTGGACATTTTCCTGCCTTTTTATGTTTAAAGTATAATGTTTCTATATCCAAGTGCCATATACATTGAATTTAGATTGAAAGTCATCGGAAGTTGGTAAAGACACAGTTACATAACATTTGATAGTTTGTTTCACCGTTTTATAGAAAATATTTTACAATGTAATGTGTCATTATTTGTAGCACATTTAAGAACCACTGCAATGTTTATGATATAAGATTGTTCCACTATTTAGTAGGGAATTTAAGATCTAATGTGAGATTGTAACGATATAAGACATGCTATTTTGTAGGGAGTTTTTACAGAATTGTGTCGCTAAATTGTAGGGAGGTTTTACATCATTGTGTCACTATTTTGTAGGGAGTTTAAGATTCAGTGTAAGGGTGTTGGGGTACACCCTCCCTTAGAGCTCAGCCACCAGGTCGTGCACTTCGCTGCTACAGCTCTCTATGACGTATCTTCAGCTTCAATGCATGTGATCAACTCACACATCAGTACAAACGAGTTTACTCATCCCGTGCCCAGAATTGGGAAAGGTAAGAGTTTTTGACAGTTATCAACATCAGTGCACAGTGGTAGGCCTAGTGGTTTGGTTTTCAACATCGGAAGCAACGTGTGTCAAAACTTAAACATGCTCCAAAGATGTTCATCATTATATAAATACTTCATTAGCTCACCTGGCCCAAAGGGCCAAGTGAGTTTATGCCACGGTCGTCATCAACTTTTTACTTTAAACAACTTCTTCTGAATAACCAAGAGGCCCAGGCTAATGATATTTGGCGAGTAGCATGCTGGGATCGATAAAAGGCTACCAAGTTTGTTCAAATGAATGACCTTTGCCCATTTTCATGGTAACAGGGGTAAGACATGTTAAAATCTTTAAACAACTTCTTCTAAATAACCAGAAGGCCAAGGATGATGATGTTTGGCCAGTAGCATGTTGGGATGAAAGGCTACCAAGTTTGTTCAAATGAATGACCTTTGCCCATTTTCAAGGTCACAGGGGTAAAAAATGTTAAAATATTTAAACAACTTCTTCTAAATATTTGGCCAGTAGCATGCTGGGGTGAAGGGCTACCAAGTTTGTTCAAATAAATGACCATCTTTGACTTTCAAGGTCATAGGGGTCAAATGTGTTTAAATCGTTTAACAGGTTCTTCTGAATGACTTAAGTAAAGACACTGATATTTTACCTGTAGCTTTATTTTAGTCCACTTTTAAGGTTACAATTGTGAGATTAATACCAGGGCCTCTTGTTTTTATTTCACAACAATTATGAAATCACTTATTTCTGCTTATATTAATCACTGTTGTTGGCCCGGATGTTAGTGCATTGGGGGGTCTTAATGTGGGATGAAATTGGAGCATCCCAAGAAAACCCACATGGTCAGGCAGGTGACCTCATACCTTTTCATGTCTGATCGGGGAATCGAACCCCAGCCACCGTGGTGAAAGGTGAGTGTGCTATCCGCTGCGCTTCCCGACAAACCATGTTCATCATTAGCTGGATTGGTGTTTGGTAAAAGTATTTTTTGTCTGTGTCCCTATAAAACTGATATGTAGACTTAGTCTTGTGAATGTTTGTAACAAGTGAGGTAATCCTCAGAGTTCTATGAGTCATAAACGTTAACACAAACAGCAGGGCTGTTTCCTTTTATCAGGCTGAAAGATATATATTTGTTTCTATCGAAGAATTACTTCCGTATTTGATGATCATTTCTCTTTTCAGGTGATATTGCCCCTGTGGGCCCCACATCATTTGAATTTGTAGTCCCTGAAGGAGCCCCACTCACTATTTCACCCTCTGTTGGAACCATTGAGCCAGGAAAGGTACCTGTTTGAGGAAAACTTACAATGATACACTAATGCAGTACCAGTATTACTTCTTTTGACACTTGGTATATTGACCAAGTGATGGGTTTAGTTACAGTGAAATAGAGAAACGTGTCATAACCCTAGGGGACACTCCAAAGTCAATAGGAATTTGTTTTTTACTTTATAGACCTAATTTTTTTGTTTTCTTAATGCTTCAACAAATCAACAATGATAAGTCTACCTGGTCTGAACTGAAAGAATTAGGATTGTTGAAATGATGAAACTGAAACTATTATTAGTCTCAAATATTAAACACAATTTCTAAAATCTTCTTCTCCAATTTCGTAACTGCCAAAGCATTAATGCTGCAGGTCTTATTGTGCACATTACATGTTACTATGACCAACACCATACACAAACTATTACTTTCAATTTTAATAAGTATGGAAATTAGATTTTTTTTATGTGATATTGGTAATAGATATATCATAATACTGATAATCTATATCAGTTATTATGTCTTACTAAGTAGAAGAAGATATTTTTCTTGACTCGGTGAAATTGATAACAAAAGAACCAGATGTAATATCTCAGGATATTCATTGAAGTAGGTATTATGTCCTTCACTGGAAATGGATTTTATTTAAAAAATTATTACTTTGTTGTAACCATTTTTGGTCCAGCATGTTTTTTTCTTCTGTAGAAATGCCGTGTTCAAGTCCGCTTCACGCCGACACTGCCTGAGAATAGCATTAAGAAGGAAGCCGTACGAATGGGCACCAAGATGTTGGAGTTGAAGGCTGAGCGAGATTATCAGGAACAAATGAGGAAGGAGAAGGAAGAACAGGAACAGGCCCAGGTCTGTGGCAGGTTTAACTCTTCTATAACGTGGAATTCCATGTTGCCTATCCTTTTTTTTTTTGTATCTTCTTCCTATAATAATAATCCTGATAGTAATGTTTTTGATGTTGTCTATGTACTTTGATGCTGTTTTTTCTCTATGTTCACTTTGAGAACTTTTGTCACTCTTACTTAGGCTGGTTCTAAGAATGCCAAGCCCGGGGCCAAGGATAAAGGTGGAGCTAAGGGAGCAGCCAAGGGCAAGGCGTCACCTGTCGCTCCTACCCTGACGGTCGCAGGACCTCGCCCGGTCACTCCACCAACACTAGAGTCAATCACTCGGGCGTAAGTCCAGCTTTAATCATTTAACGCAGACGACTTAGTAAGATATAACAACCCAAGTCAAATTGACAAACTGGAAAGTTTTTTTCCTTTGCAGATGCTGTGATGTTTTTGTGTTTCTTTTCTATTGGACAGATGTTCAGTTAGAATTTTTGGAAAAGTTGTTGAAACATAAGTCTGGTTAGCTTCACGACAACATAACATGGAAAGTAAACTTAGTCTATTTCCCACAATCTCAAAATTAAAAATTAACTATAGGGATTGGAATTTAGAGTGATCACCTGAAAACAAAAGGTAAAGATCGATACATCTCACATTTCAAACCTGTGTACATTACATAAAAATGCAATATACATGCTTTTTTAATGTACTAAAGGACTTTAATTTGATATTTGTATAATGATGGCTTAAATATTGTCCACTATTGAATTTATTTATTTACGTTGTTATATATTTTAACAGGTCTCCTTCCTACACAGCCGCTCAGGGTTCACTGTTGAGACAATTCCGCGGAAATTTCCGGTCGTACACTATACCCTGCTATGTAGCCTCTGGAGAGTGCTCCAACCCGGGAGAGCTTCCTTACAGGTAGGTTTATGTCTTCAGGTTCAGCAGGGCGCCTCCTTAGTCAGGAAACAGTCCAGGAGAGCTTCCTGACAGGTAGGTTTATGTCTTCACGTTCAGCAGGGTGCCTTCTTAGTCGGGAAACAGTCCAGGAGAACTTCCTTACAGGTAGGTTTATGACTTCACGTTCAACAGGGCGCCTCCTTATTAATTACTGAGGAAACAGTCCAGGAGAACTTCCTAACAGGTAGGTTTATGTCTTCACGTTAAACAGGGCGCCTCCTTACTGAGGAAACAGTCCAGGCGAACTTCCTTACAGGTAGGTTTATGTCTTCACGTTTAGCAGGTTGCCTCCTTAGTCAGGAAACAGTCCAGGAGAACTTCCTTACAGGTAGGTTTATGTCTTCAGGTTCAGCAGGGCGCCTCCTTAGTCAGGAAACAGTCCAGGAGAGCTTCCTTACAGGTAGGTTTATGTCTTCCGGCTCAGCAGCGCGCCGCCTTAGTCAGGAAACAGTCCAGGAGAGCTTCCTAACAGGTAGGTTTATGTCTTCACGTTCAGCAGGGTGCCTTCTTAGTCGGGAAACAGTCCAGGAGAACTTCCTTACAGGTAGGTTTATGTCTTCAGGTTCAGCAGGGCGCCTCCTTAGTCAGGAAACAGTCCAGGCGAACTTCCTTGCAGGTAGGTTTATGTCTTCACGTTAAGCAGGGCGCCTCATTAGTCAGGAAACAGTCCAGGAGAGCTTCCTGACAGGTAGGTTTATGTCTTCACGTTCAGCAGGGCGCCTCCTTACTCAGGAAACAGTCCAGGCGAACTTCCTTACAGGTAGGTTTATGTCTTCACGTTTAGCAGGTTGCCTCCTTAGTCAGGAAACAGTCCAGGAGAACCTCCTTACAGGTAGGTTTATGTCTTCACGTTCAACAGGGCGCCTCCTTATTAAGTACTGAGGAAACAGTCCAGGAGAACTTCCTTACAGGTAGGGTTATGTCTTCACGTTTAGCAGGGCGCCTCCTTAGTCAGGAAACAGTCCAGGCGAACTTCCTTGCAGGTAGGTTTATGTCTTCACGTTAAGCAGGGCGCCTCATTAGTCAGGAAACAGTCCAGGCGAACTTCCTTGCAGGTAGGTTTTTGTCTTCACGTTCAGCAGGGCGCCTCATTAGTCCGGAAACAGTCCAGGAGAGCTTCCTGACAGGTAGGTTTATGTCTTCACGTCCAGCAGGGCGCCTTCTTAGTCAGGAAACAGTCCAAGCGAACTTCCCCACAGGTAGGTTTATGTCTTCACGTTCAGCAGGGCGCCTCATTAGTCCGGAAACAGTCCAGGAGAGCTTCCTGACAGGTAGGTTTATGTCTTCACGTTCAGCAGGGTGCCTTCTTAGTCGGGAAACAGTCCAGGAGAACTTCCTTACAGGTAGGGTTATGTCTTCACGTTCAGCAGGGCGCCTCCTTACTCAGGAAACAGTCCAGGCGAACTTCCTTACAGGTAGGTTTATGTCTTCACGTTAAACAGGGCGCCTCCTTACTGAGGAAACAGTCCAGGAGAACTTCCTTACAGGTAGGTTTATGTCTTCACGTTTAGCAGGGCGCCTCCTTACTCAGGGAACAGTCCAGGCAAACTTCCTTACAGGTAGGTTTATGTCTTCACATTCAGCAGGGCGCCTCATTAGTCAGGAAAGGTATAAAGCTCTTATCTCTATAAGTATGGCACTGACTATATATTGAGATTGATTGTTTTAGAAACTTACTATAGATGAACGAAAATAATGAAAAACAATGAAAATTTTCAATTAGACTTTTTTCCATCATTTTTTGAAAGTGTCCCTAGATAAACATGATCAAAATAATTAACAATAGAACGTTTTTGTTCACATTGTTTTCATCCATATTCTAAAGTATTCTCTTTACCCTTCAGTTCAACCTAAACTAATGACTGCTATTGCTAGGAATAGAAAGTGTTTATATCATGTCAACTATTGTCTCCATCTTGATGTATTGTTGATGGTAGAAGTAATGCAATCAGTGGGTTATTATAGTCTAACCAATATCATATACATGCAGGTCTTTCCACCTTCTGGCTCCTTAGTGTACAAACGTTATGATAACATGGTGTAGTGTATTCCCTAACTGAAGGTTGTGAGTTTCTTGTTTCAGTGTTCACAACACACTGTACCTAGAAGTTCATTGCCCGACTGTGAAACCCACCCTGGTGGTAATATCTGACAACGGCAACACATGTCTGGACTTCGGGGAGGTGTCCCTCGGCCAGAACATCACCAAAACTATCACCATACAGAACATCTCCAACAAACACGTGGAGGTAAGTACCACATCATTACTTACAGTCCTAAGGCTGTTCCTGGTAACGATCTGTGGGGGTGGGGAAGAGGGAGGGAGAGAGGCACTCGTTTACTTTCACATTTCCCCCTCTCTAACCAACATTTTAGACCCTACTACATTTATAATATAAATTTAAGTGCCTCCTTGATCCCAATGATATTCCGTTTAATTTATGTCAAAATACATGTATGTTAAATTAGAATAAGATATGCTATGATTTAAAAAAAAACTAGAACCATAAGAACAAAACAGAACGAAAGAAAAGTAAATTTTATCTGTCAAAACATTTCAAATGAAATTGTGTGAATTAAAAAATACAAAAGCACATATTAGAAAAAAGCAAATGACAGTATTTGTACCAATAACTTAAATTACATTACATAACAAGGTGTAACTGTATTATTTCTGTTGGTATCCCGTCTCTGGCAACTAACTTCAATAAGATATGGTCAAAGTATATCTGTCTTAGATTATGGTATTTCAACCCTTTCTTATCAGGAAATCATTTTTAGAAACTGACATGATTGTTTAACAATTGATTATGCTACTATATAAACACATATTCCTTGTCAATTACGATTAAATACAACTGTCATTGACTTTCCAGCTGCGTTCATCCATTCTGGATACATCAGGGCCGTTCCTCATGTTAAACGCTCTAAGGTTGTTGCCACCAGAAGGCACACACACCCTGCTGATGTCATTCACGCCGACGGCTGGCCGGGTGGTAAGTCTTCCGTAGCAACTCAATAAACGTTAGGGTTTGGTTGAAAAAAATGTATGTTAATTATAAGTCTCCCCTTGAAAAGCTTATCCATATATCTGATTGCAGTCCACTGATTTCAAAATCACAGTCTACTGTTAAGTTCTTTGAAAACAATATCACAGTTCACTGATTACTTTATCATGGTCCACTGATTACAATATCATGGTCCACTGGTTACAATATCACATTTCACAGTATCAAAGTCCACTGATGGCTATATCACGGTCCAATGATTACAGTATCACAGTCCAATGATTTCAATATCACAGTCTAGATTTACTGGTCACAATGTCACGGTCCACTGATTACTACATCAGAGGCTACTGATTACAATATCATGGTCCACAGACATCAATATTACGGTCCAGTGATTGCAGTATGAGAGTTCACTGATTACAATATATATCACAGTCCAATGATTTAGAATGTCACACATTCCACTTGTACTCTCTTAGTCCACTGATTGCAATATCAGATTTCACTTATGAAAAGGCCAAATGCATTCTTAGCTAGTTTAATGAGCAGTTTTTGTCATTTTTTCTCTAATTCAAATTTCAATGTTACAGAGAAGTATAATTTATGAAAAGAAATGATAGTTCAATAAGAAATACCGCTTAGTTATCAACTTAAACCAGTCCTTACTAAAAACATACCTGAAAAATTGATATTTAAAAACTTATTCGTTATTGCTTCAAATGTGAGTACACTGTATACTATACGATCTCCAGGTGGATTGATACAGCTGTGTTTATCACTACACATATCAGTGTTTACCTACTTACTAACACTTTATATACCTTTGGTGTTTCAGAGTTGGGTAACATAAGCATGCCTATATATTTTCAATCATATTTTGACTGATTTATCTTTTATTTGCTAATTAGAATTGTCGGTTGTGATAGTTAGTGATTATAAGTGCCAGTTTATCGGAGATATTTTACAAGGTACATATTTTACTTGTTATATGTGTTTGTTCCTGTTAACCTTGTCAGAGTTTGAACATTTTTTCTGCTGTACTTTGTATGTTGGCCAGTTCTCTTTCATTTCGTGACTCTCACGATTTATGATCACACACGACACAGATATGTACATACGTATAATGGTTATGCACTGAGAAAGTTATATGTCATAGGGAAAGTCAGTTATGAACATAAACACTTGGTTTATCTACGACTTTTTTTATCATATACATAATTTACTTTATTATTTTGTAACAGAACATTTTTTTTCCTCACAAACATTGCTTTGTGTTTGCAGTAAGTGCTGACGTTTTTTTTCTTTTTTTTTTCTTAAGTTTACTTCAAAGTTGTGATCAAGTAAGACATTTGTCACCATTGTCATCATTCAATTGCACCACCTGACTACCAAAAAGCAGAGTAGAATGGATAATGGATTTTAATCCTCAATTCGACTTACATCTAGAATGCAGATATTGTTGGTTTCACAATGATAACTGTGGTCAGTTAGTATAGTACAGTAAGGTAGCTAAAAGTTACCCAGTGGTATGCTCAGTAATAAGAGAAAGTCTAGTGATTTACAACTGTTTGTGTTTCATTCCACTGTATCGTTTGTGCCATCAGGACACAGAGTTACCTGACGATGAATGTACGAGTACGCCCAAGGTAGCAAACGCACAGAGCTCATGGCAGCCATCAGCCTAACATAAACCTTTAAGTTACAGTTTCTGCTACGCAGCCATCAGCCTAACATAAACCTTCAAGTTACAGTTTCTGCTACTGATGAGCAAGACTTGAAATTTAACAAAGAACAATAACAGCAATAACAAGTTGAATAGCAGAATACCACAATGTACATCATCAACTTACAAACCAATAACATTAACCACCTCAGTAGTAGTACTGAGCACTTCTATTGAGCAGCACTAGACTTCTGTGTATGTTAAGCTGTCAAGGCTGTGAGAGGAAGTTTCCTCTCACTGTAATACATTGATGATGTCATTGCATTGTTAGATTAATTGGTGTTGAGGTGTGTATATGTGTTATAAATACATAGCACTTACACAGTTGTCAAGATAAGATTATTCTCTAAATAAAATGTAGTTGTGTTTTCGAATAAATGCATTGCCAGAGTGCACCTTTTTAATAAAATTGAGCAGAATAATTCTGTTACAGATTTTAACAACAAGGAAAGAAAAAAATCATTTATATAGATAATGATGTCATACATCTGTTGGTTATTGATTGTAAATGGATATACTGTTTCTTATAATAAGCTTTAGCATTTCGCTCATGACTCTCCGTGTCTACAGTCTTTGGCTATCACCCAAAGGGGGATAAATGTGGTGTCTGGACAAGACGGAGTATTAACCAAAGGCCCATCTCTCACCTAAGTACAAGTCTCATAGTTACTTGTATAAAAGTACTGAACATGGTGTGTTTACTAAATGAAGCATGTGTACATTGACCAAGAGTCATCTGCTTTAACAGCAACATTTAAATACATAATTATAATCCTCCCCTACAAAACTAAACATATCTTTGTATTATAGATATAAAGCAGAAATAATCTAACTAAAATTAACCCAAAAGGTCAGGGTCATGACTAAGGTTCAAAGGTCAAATGATTTTTAATTATTACATGCATTCGTAAATATCATCCATTTTCACACAAGTGTACAAATATCTTTCATTTAATTCTTTGTCTCTTCTATTGCTTATAAATGCTAAATACATATTTTTAGTGTTGATCTTATTGAGACAATAAATCTTAAAAAATCATAATCAGACTACTAGTATATTGCCATAGAAAGCTGCACTCTTGTGAAAATAGCTGATAATTATGAATGAAATACGAGACTTATTATTACAACACAGACAACATATTCTTAATTTAGAGCGAATGCAAAATATTATGTTCAAAAGTGTATATCAACAATCTATGATTAATGTGTATCTTAAGTTAGTAAATATAATTAACAAAATAGGGGAACAACAATAACAAGTAGTTAGTTAGTACTGCATGAAAAATGAGCAGAAATAGACACTGCACAGTGATACAGATGATATGCCAGGCTGCCATTCTATGTATATATATAAGCAGTAGTTATAGAATTAAATTGTCGGTTTTCCTATTCAGCTACATAGGTTAACCATGAAATGCTAGTGCTAATGTGATATGGATGTTGTATTTACTGTTAAAACAAATACTGTGTATAGTTCCATCTTTATTTTAACGCTCTCAGCAATAGGTCTATTATGCTGATTGGATTACTACCCCAAATTATTGATTTTTTTGGTTAGCTTACATGTATATTAATATGACAAGTGCAATTTGTCTTCGATAATATATTGAGAACTAAATATGTTGGCAATGAATATTATATGTACATGTATGGTGTTATTTTCTTACCGTAAACTAGAGACTATTTTGAATTGCAGTTTTCAAACCTTTCGACGAAAATGTGTAAATCCTTATCACTTTTGATAGCTGTTTTTTATTATTTAATTATCTCCCTTGATAGTTATAGGACATATTCATATATACTTACAGGACAAATCATTAGCTACTGATCAGATGTCAAATTATCTCCCTTTATTGTTGAATGATCTCCTTTTATAGTTCCAAGAGGTGTTTGACATCTATACTGGATTGTCTGTGCTGCATGTGACGCTGGCTGGTAAGGGAGTTAACCCTATTGTAGACCTGAGTATGCCTATGGAGGACGGAGTATTTAATATGGGGGCAGTTCTTGTGTCTGAGTATGTGGAAAAAACATTTAAGGTAAAATATCATATGTAATGATTTTCGTAAAATATTGTTTTAGACAAAAGCTTTTAAATTGCATAATTGCCATAATAGTAAAAAGCAGTATAGTTTATTTTATGCTTTGTTTATAAAGAATTCTCTATTGAATGCTACTTGATTGCAGATTTAATCTTCTATTTTTATTGAAATGTGTATTTTATTTCATGAACAATTCTATATATAAGCACGTTTTTCACAGAAATTTGTAATGCATTTTAGTACATATTCCCTTATAAATTTAAAACAATTTCTTACGATGTTTTGTCCATCAGATGCAGAACTCCTCATCGCTGTCCATAGACTATTGTATGAAGCTGGAGAGTCTTTCACTTCTACGCCATACCAAGGGACAGGAGCTGCCGGAATTTGTCAAACGTGACAAGAAATCGAAATCACAAGTTGGTAAGGAGATGTGTTTCTGGAACAGTGGAACCTTATTCAATTTGATTATTGTTTTGGTTAGAGTTTCACATAAGTATTGTTCACCGTTACTTCGAGGTCAAAATTACATCTAGACGAGAGCATTAGACTGGCATATTGGGGTAAATTTGATCTCGTTTGATTATGTAAATGATTTGCCTAATTGATATCCTTTTACAGGAACTCAGAACAACAGCGGTCAAAACGTATTTGATCTGGTGCCATCGGAGGGAACTTTACCACCAGGGGGCACTACAGAGGTCACTGTGACCTTTGCCCCTGACCATGCTAGTGACCACTACTCGGATGGCATTAAGATTGAACTCTTTGGAAAAGTATGTACACACATTGATTAATGTACAACAATTTCAGTCGGGAAAGGAATTTGATTTTTATTGCTAATAAAATGAAAGTTTAAAAGAAATATTAAATCATACCTTTAATATTTATAAAACAACATGTGGCAAATATGAAAAAATGGTGTCTGTTTATGAATGAATGCAGTTTATTTTCTGTTTGGAAGCACGTTCAAGTAAAATTTACTTGATTTGTCCTGTAGGAAGAGTCCCACAGTTTTAAGATTGTTGGAATGGCCAAACCCAGGATCATGTTTGTCCAAGGTGCAGACAATAGGTTCCCGAATGTTGAATCCCTAGCCGATGTGCTTTCAGAGGGAACGGATGAAGAAGGTTTGCTTACAATTTTACGTTTTACTTTTAAAGGGCAATCATTAACAAATATTACTGTACATATATAGGAAACGTATTGCAATGCATTGAAATTATCCAAATTAATTCTTGGCTTTTCTTGGTTACCTTCTCGTTCCTCTTCGATGGGTCTCCCTAGGCCCCCGTCACCATATAATATAAGCTTTTGCGAGAAAGTTGAATCCTAGACAAACAAACAAATTTTACATATTATTTCAACTGTTCATTGGCTTATGGTTCATACATTACATATATATAAAGTATTAAGTCACTCAATCCTTAGTGCTAAAATTTAAGCTAAATTCCCTGTGTTCAGAGGGTCGCCTAGGTTTGGAACCAGTGCTGCTCACACTACAGAGCATTGCCAAGGAGAACGAGTTTGTGCCAGGGTCCCGCGACTTACAGATTGGCTGTGTTCGGACAATGGCGGTCAGTCAAAAAAAGGTAGGTGGAGATCCCCAACTCAATGTTTTTACCCTTTAGTGTGGTTATAATTGTGTATAACGTAACACCAACCGCTGGACCTACTGAACCCTGTGTCTCAATCAGCACAGGTGGATGTGTGCAGAAGGTTTTCGTGAGAATGGCACCAGGAAACACATGGACATCCGATTTATTGTATATTTCTTACCGGTTTTACTATAACTGTGTGATTTGTTTCTCCTTGTCTCTGACATAACGGAATACGTTGATGATAACAAAGCATATTAATGATACGTCTAGGTTGATGTGGTCACTTTACTAACAGCATGTTCCATCATTGTGTCTTTATTTGCACTGATTTCACACATTATCGTTCCATCTTGGAACATCAGAATGATTTTTTGAAAAAAAAAATGATTTGCTTTCTAAATAAGATGAATTTTGATTTGCCATTTTTTCTACTGTTAAAAAGCTATTGTGAGAATACAAAACATCCTAATAAATGCATCAATTTTCCACAGAATGTTTCATCTTTATTTCCTTCAGTCTCCCTTTGCTTTATGAAGGTGTCTTACCTGTTATGTGTATCCCCAATTAAAATTTTGCAAGCAAATTTAGAAAGAAGACAATTTTTTATCGCAAATGTCTAAGTATTAATCAAGTGCACTAGGGGAAAAAACTTCTCTAAAAATACGGATGTGAGATAAATACCTTTGAGTAGGATGCCTCCTTAACTTTGTAAGCGTTGTATGTAATTTCTCCTGTGTTGATTTCCTCGTACTTGTGTGCTTCTTATTATATATATTAATTTCTGTGGTGTACATGTTTTTCTAAAACAGGATGGCAGAAAGGTACAGTTCACTGCAAGATAGATACCTAATATAGATATTAATTGTAGATTTTAGCATCAACAAAAATAGATAATGAGCTAGCTATGGTTGTGATTGAATTTCATGAATTAGGAAAGAAATAGTTGGGAAGTGTTGGTGAATCGTTTTGAGTTTTATATGTCTGCATCTGGAATAAGGTAAAATTAAGAGCAGTTGGAAGAATATGTGACAAAAACCAGTGTCTAGATTTTTTTTTATTTGTAATTGTAAGAAAAGAGAAAAAATGGTTTGAGGAGTGTGAAGAGCAGTTGACCTGTTATAATAATAAACATATATAAGTTTTAACACATTAAAAGCTAATTATCTAGTTATTCCTGGACAGGCAGTGCAAGTGTTTGAACATTTCTTCTTAAAATCTCTTCATTTAATAGTTTATTGCATTTCTATCAAAATTTAAAATCAAATTATATTTAGCTACACATGCAGAAATTTATATATATATATATATATCTGAATTGTGTTTTTCTAAAGAAATAGGGGGATACGGATATTATTATCATATTAACTTTTTACTCGAAAATTTCTTTTCAGGATGCTATATTTAATTTTATACTTTCGTCAAACTATATGTTATTTTTATACCTTTTTGTCAAAATCCTGCCATACTAAAATTTATACTAATATGCCACTGTAATTCCTCACCTTCACAATCCACTGCTGTTTGTGCCAAACTACCTAACCAATCACTCACCACCCTGTGATCATCTAACAACCAATAGGATGTACGAGGATCCAAGGTAGGCCAATCACTGCAAAGATCAAAATTATTAATGTTTTATGCAGCTAGGTCCATTATATTTTTAAAGAAAACGTTTTAATAGAGTTACATATATATAGTTGAACAGGTATTTTGTTGAAACCATATGTGAGGCTACGTGTTGGAAATGTCATTTAGCGTATTTTTCTTTGGAAAAAATTAAACTTTTTGCTGTTTAAAATTATGTTGTGGAAAACATATTGTACTCTCCCTGCCGAGCTTTTTCTGATGGCAAGCTGATCATGATCTAGTGAAATATAATATTTATTTAATATTTAATATGAAAATTAACCAAACAACTTCTATTTAGAGATTAAAAAGTATACGTACAATATTCGTATTAGGCTTTTAAACGTTTTCTGAAAGTAATGTTAAGTTATAACTTTTCATTTTATTAGCAGACCTGGGGTAAATAACATTTGTGTAATTAATCACGTTAAAATTACATTACGGAACCTCAACTGACGAGCAGAGTTACTTTATCTTTTCATGTCATAGTTTATGCCGATTAATTTCCTTAAACCCCTGTCACACAAGGGCCGCGTTCCCATGGCGTCCAAGAAAAATCCAGAACGCCGATCTGCGTGCAGTGGAATCGCAAGCATCGCCAGCAACGGCGCATACTTTGAGCATGCCCAAAACAAATGCCGTCGCTTGGCAGTCTGTTAAGAGCGCAGTGGGATCGCTGTAGCAACGCGTACGCAGTTATGCCACAGGATCGCCATGGGTGCGCACAGAGGTCGCAGTGCGAACCCAATGGTTATCGGTGGCCTTGCACTGCGATTGTACAGCGTTCTCTGAGATGACACTGCGTCTCTACCGCACTTATATGCGCCATGACAACTCGATGCACGCAGTGGAAGTGCCATGAGTGCGCAGACAATCGCCAACTAGAACTCCGTAGGAACGCGGTAGAACGCCATGGAGCTCCGTAGAAACGCAAAGGTTGCCGTGAGAACGGCGTGACATTGCCATCTTCATGAAAAATATCATTTTTTTCCTGCGATCTCACGGCGCTCTGGGAAATTTAACAACGCCGTGCAATCGCAGTGGCAACGCGGCTAGGTGTGACAGGGGCTTTAGTTTTATTGATTAAAAACATAAAATCAAATTTGAAAGAACGCCTTTAAATCGTTTTGTAATTTATGCTGGCTCATTGCATTAAAGAAGACAATTAGACAATGTCTCATTGTATCATAGACGTGTGATATACATCTCTGATTGTATGAAATGTGTTACTGCAATTGTTCTCAGAAGTAACGTTAAACAATTCTGACGCAAGAAAGTCATTGGGGTGTTACCATGTTATATATTGTAGTTTGAATCTAATATTTAAGGACAGAGAGCTAGATTTTCTTTGTATTCATAACATACCGGTCTTGATCACATCACAGTATTTGTATAGCGTGTATATGATCTGATCTGATAAATGTTAAATCAACACAATGCTATTACACATTATCATCACCCCTGGTCTGACAGTATCACTAGGATCTCGTTTTAATTATTTGACATTTTTCTTATTTACAGAACGGAGAATTCCAATTTGATAACGTGCAACCCATTGTCGCCAAAGGTTTTGGTATAGAACCACAGAAGGTAAGCAAACATGTTTCTATATTTTGGAATAATACGGGTGTCACGTCGCTGATGTCGTAGATATAAGTATAAAGGTAAATTCCTTATCCAACAGATGGGCTCATGTACTCTTACAAACTTCCATTGAAAATGAGTTTTTGAATGGGAAAGGCATACAGTTTTCCTCGGGTTAGTTTTAAGGTATTGCTCATCTTTAGCCTTATATTTTATTCACAGATACTCACTCAATGTGTTACAATTCACTTCTTTACATTTACGACTTTTTTAAAACCCTTGTTAATTGGAACAGAAAGTACCAAAATGTATCAGTATAGCTTCACTGCTGAACCTTGGATTCCGTTAAAGGTGTTTGTCATTGTAATAGAACTTCCTACTGCCAGTTTAACTGTGTGTCATTTGTTAACGACTGTGGTGTCCTTTACAGGGTATGGTGGAAGCTGGTATATTGAAACCCGTCACCATCACATGGACACCGCCTCCTGGACATGATGTAAATATTGATGTTATTTATTTTGTTAAAAGCTTTTCCCAGTCTCTTCCTCGCTCATTTTTTTAGCAGTATCATCAAGCTACATTTTCATAGAATGGAAAGGTTTGGTCTTTTCACATTTTTTTAAAAAATATATTCAAAATATACACAAAATTGGGAAACGTCGATATTAGGGATCACTCGTTTAGTGAATTTGCAAAATACAAAAAAAGTAGTTCGTCAATGGCTTGTAATATTGTATTGCAATCGAATTATTTTATTATGGCATTGAAAATAAAAATCTGTATAATGACGTCGCAATAATGATGTTTTAACCTTTTCTCAACGTTTCGTCAATATGCTGTGAAAACAACAAAAAAGTAATTTACATTAGCAAGGAAATATTGTATCATGTATATTATAGATGTTTGTTAAATGTATTGTTCGAAAATATTTTCTGATTTTTTTTTTTTTTTTTTCAATTTCAGCCCAACCAGATTGTTGAGGGAACTGTGACTTTATCTTTGAAGGGAGATGTTACGGAACAACTGAAAATTATGCTTCGGGCAATGGTTGTTTCCGACTAAAGACTTCCTCGACAACTTGATTTCACTGTTTATTTATACGTTATACCTGTCTGTGATAACTTGAATTATTTGAACTTTGTTTCCGTTATTGTTATGTTGGCACTTTAAAACTTCGAAAAATAATCTCACTTTCATCAAAAGTGATTGTTCTACACCACCGCATTAAATGATTTGTTCGGAAAAACTTTTCCAAGAAGGTGATGACTACAAGATAATTGCATTGAGTGTCCCCTACCAGGGGCAGTAACACTGGGTGTCCCCTACCAGGGGCAGTAACACAGGGTGTTTTCAGAATACATCTTTTGTTTGTTGAAACGTGATACGTCTGTCTTAGCAGCGTAAGTTATTTGAAATCCTTGCACAACAATCAGTTTTATAACTTATTACTGATACGTGGTATGTTTTTAACACATTACGTAAGGACGTTTGAAATTAAATTCTTGTGAATGAATGAAATGGTTATGTATTACTATTTTATAAACATGAAATAAATTACAAATATATATACACAGTGTTTGGTTTGTGTACAACAAAGCTTTACTGATACTGGGCAAATCATTATCACCAGTTTGAGTTGAGTTTATGTAGATAGCGGAACGGCTAAGGACTCCGTTACCATTCAGAAACTACATAACTACATGTATATATATGACTGATCAGAAGTTCATTATCACTTGATTCTGAGACAATATGCGAATTAACTTTTGGACATCCACGTAATTTAAGCAAAACAAATGTGCAATCTAGCATTGGTTTCTAGTTAAGTTCTGTAGAGTGGAAGGATGTAACAGTAGTTTGATTCTCTTTGGTAAACTCCATATTTCAGAGTCTTTATATTTACTGTTTATGCATGTTGAAACACTGCAGGTTTGTCATATGATTGTGCTCAAAGGTCAACCGTTTAACATAATCTCTGTGTTCAAATACTTCACATAGTTTAAACATAAACTGAAAAAAACAAGTATCAAAGGAAAGTTGTACTCTTAGCAATAAATTCTGTTCTTCAACTCTGGCTAGGATTGCAGAAAGATCAAGCTAGCTTATGGTCTGAAAAAAGCATGATCAGAACACTGTTTGAACTGCTTTAATGATGTCGCTATATATGTTGTGGTTGAAAAAAAAGGGAAAATGATCCAAAGATGTCGCTTATTCCTTGTTCAGAGAAATTTGAAAAGGAAAAAAGACAATGGTTTACAGTATTTTTATAAACCAATATTTTTTTCTCTATGATGGCGATGTTAATTATATCTAATTTCATAATTAGTGTGCATATATTCATCAAGGCGAATAGCTTAAAGTTAAAATAATACCTCGCAATTTTGCCCCATGATGTCTGTTTAAGATAAGATAAAACCTTGTCTCCATTTCTTTTTGTTTTTCTTTCTGCATTATGTAGCCATAATATATTCTCTTCAGTTCCCTGAAACACTTTGTGTTATTAAATATATAGACAATGCTGAAAAACAAATATCTTGCAATTTCTATAGTATAGTTATTGGACTAATGGCGTTGCAAGAAACTTACTTTCAAATATCCCTGATGGGGAATTTCTGCATAGGTCTGTATCCAAAGAGATGCAGCGCTCCCACTGACTTCAATCCCTCCTAAAATCATACAAGGAGAGGCAAAACATGTGTGAAGGACAAACGACAATATCTGAGAAAGAAAAATAAGGCAGTTCACACCACATATATAATGATTTACACGAAAGGCACATATAATTTGTAGCAATATACAGGTAAGATTTCCGTTGACACAAATACATCACACCAGAATTCATGAACGGTATAGCTTTATGGAGATACAAATATATACCAAAGTGTAAACAAAACCATAATTTGAAATCAAAATCGATGAAATTATGGCAGTCAGAAAATATTTCACACGTACACATTTGAATGTAAAATTCTGCTTCGTTGAAGACATCCGTCACGTAAATGTAGGTAAAATACAAGCAAAAGAAATCATAAGGCACACTAATCAGTAAAATAATAAAGCACGCTAATCAGCAAAATCATACGGCACACTAATCAGCAAAATCATAAGGCAAACTAATCAATAAAATCATAAGGCACACGTATCAGCAAAATCATAAGGCACACTAATCGGCAAAATTATAAGGCACACTAATCAGCAAAATCATAAGGCACACTAATCAGCAAAATCATGAGGCACACTAATCAGCAAAATAATAAAGCACGCTAATTAGCTAAATCATAAGGCACGCTAATCAGTAAAATCATAAGGCACACTAATCAGCAAAATCATGCACGCTAACCAGCAAAATCATAAGGCACACTAATCAGCAAAATAATAAGGCACACTAATCAGCAAAATCATGAGGCACACTAATCAGCAAAATAATAAAGCACGCTAATCAGCTAAATCATAAGGCACGCTAATCAATAAAATCATAAGGCACACTAATCAGCAAAATCATGCACGCTAATCAGCAAAATCATAAGGCACACTAATCAGCAAAATCATGAGGCACACTAATCAGCAAAATAATAAAGCACGCTAATCAGCTAAATCATAAGGCACGCTAATCAGTAAAATCATAAGGCACACTAATCAGCAAAATCATACGGCACTAATCAGCAAAATCATAAGGCAAACTAATCAGTAAAATCATAAGGCACACGTATCAGCAAAATCATAAGGCACACTAATCGGCAAAATCATAAGGCACACTAATCATCAAAATCATAAGGCACACTAATCGGCAAAATCATAAGTCGCACTAATCAGCAAGATCATAAGGCACACTAATCAGCAAAATCAAAAGGCACGCTAATCAGCAAAATCATAAGGCACACTTATCAGCAAAATCATAAGGCACACTTATCAGCGAAATCATAAGGCACACTAATTGGCAAAATCATAAGGCACACTAATCAGCAAAATTATAAGGCACACTAATCGGCAAAATCATAAGTCGCACTAATCAGCAAGATCATAAGGCACACTAATCAGCAAAATTATAAGGCACACTAATCGGCAAAATCATAAGGCACACTAATCATCAAAATCATAAGGCACACTAATCGGCAAAATCATAAGGAACACTAATCAGCAAAATCACAAGGCCCACTAATCAGCAAAATCAAAAGGCACTCTAATCAGCAAATTCATAAGGCACACTAATCGGCAAAATCATAAGTCGCACTAATCAGCAAGATCATAAGGCACACTAATCAGCAAAATCACAAGGCCCACTAATCAGCAAAATCAAAAGGCACGCTAATCAGCAAATTCATAAGGCACACTAATCGGCAAAATCATAAGTCGCACTAATCAGCAAGATCATAAGGCACACTAATCAGCAAAATCAGAAGGCACACTAATAAGCAGAATTGTCGACATTCATATCGCACAAGGAAAACGACTATTCAGCAATGAGGTAAAGAGGACGACCATATAAGGCACACTAATCAGCAAAATCATACGGCTCTAATCAGCAAAATCATAAGGCAAACTAATCAGTAAAATCATAAGGCACACGGATCAGCGAAATCATAAGGCACACTAATTGGCAAAATCATAAGGCACACTAATCAGCAAAATCACAAGGCCCACTAATCAGCAAAATCAAAAGGCACGCTAATCAGCAAATTCATAAGGCACACTAATCAGCAAAATCAAAAGGCACACTAATCAGCAAATTCATAAGGCACACTAATCAGCAAAATCATAAGGCACACTAATCGGCAAAATCATAAGGCACACTAATCAGCAAAATCACAAGGCCCACTAATCAGCAAAATCAAAAGGCACGCTAATCAGCAAATTCATAAGGCACACTAATCAGCAAAATCATAAGGCACACTAATCAGCAAAATCATAAGGCACACTTATCAGCAAATTCATAAGGCACACTTATCAGCGAAATCATAAGGCACACTAATCAGCGAAATCATAAGGCACACTAATCAGAGAAATCATAAGGCACACTAATCAGCAAAATCAACAGGCACACTAATCAGCAAAATCATAAGGCACATTAATCAGCAAAATCATAAGGCACACTAATCAGCAAAATCATAAGGCACACTAATCAGTAAAATCATAAGGCACACTAATCAGCAAAATCATAAGGCACATTAATCAGCAAAATCATAAGACACACTACTCAGTAAAATCATAAGGCACACCAATCGGCAAAATCATAAGGCACACTAATCAGCAAAATCATAAGGCACACTAATCAGCAAAATCAAAAGGCACACTAATCAGCAAAATCATAAGGCACACTAATCAGCAAAATCATAAGGCACACTAATCAGCAAAATCATAAGGCACACTAATCAGCAAAATCATAAGGCACACTAATCAGCAAAATCATAAGGCACACTAATCAGCAAAATCATAAGGCACACTAATCAGCAAAATCATAAGGCACACTAATCAGCAAAATCATAAGGCACACTAATCAGCAAAATCATAAGGCACACTAATCAGCAAAATCATAAGGCACACTAATCAGCAAAATCATAAGGCACACTAATCAGCAAAATCATAAGGCACACTAATCAGCAAAATCATAAGGCACACTAATCAGCAAAATCATAAGGCACACTAATCAGCAAAATCATAAGGCACACTAATCAGCAAAATCATAAGGCACACTAATCAGCAAAATCATAAGGCACACTAATCAGCAAAATCATAAGGCACACTAATCAGCAAAATCATAAGGCACACTAATCAGCAAAATCATAAGGCACACTAATCAGCAAAATCATAAGGCACACTAATCAGCAAAATCATAAGGCACACTAATCAGCAAAATCATAAGGCACACTTATCAGCAAAATCATAAGGCACACTAATCAGCAAAATCATAAGGCACACTAATCAGCAAAATCATAAGGCACACGCTAATCAGCAAAATCATAAGGCACACTAATCAGCAAAATCATAAGGCACACTAATCAGCAAAATCAGAAGGCACACTAATAAGCAGAATTGTCGACATTCATATCGCACAAGGAAAACGACTATTCAGCAATGAGGTAAAGAGGACGACCACAAATGCCAACAGCCTGGATGTTACTGTCAAGAAAGGACAGGTTCTCTCTCGATCGAAAAATGGAAACGTTCAGACTTGTACAGCTTAGAGGTTAGTCGTCCCTGTAGGTCATATTGTAAAAAAATAGATAGAAGAGCCTACCATTAAAAGTGTCATGCAATCAGAGACGTATATACTACACAGTAACATTTCTTGTTATTTAATGACGACGTCATCCAAATACATGTAGCTGAAAATGCAGTCATTTAACTAGAAAATGGTGTTTCATGGGATATTCATTTTATGTTTTGATAGAAGGCTGACATATGTTTAGTTTAATTTAGTTTAAACATATTTTATTGCTTATGAATTCAAGCAAGAGGATTGGGCACAAGTTATGACAACTATTAAAATCCCTCTCCTCAACAATTGTACTACAACAATGTGATGGCGACAATAGACATATATGTACATTTTTATACCATAAAACAAATTAGGAAATCAGAAAAAGTAAACAAGAAACAGGTTGAAAGTGCCGGGAAATCACAAGAATATTTTATTGCATTTCTTATCATATACAACAAATTAATGTATAGTAATGTATAATACATACTAGCTAAACACTACGGCTACTTCCTCTGTTGAAATTGTCCATGTAAATGCTCATTCCTAATCATCTTGCTCTGTTGTACATTCAAGCTCCTTCTAGGTATCGTTTCATTGTGCCAGGCAGAAAAGAAAAAGACATTTGTTTGTATAGTTCATATCACAAAAATCACTTATGACATGATGGTTCAGAAAAGATAGTGATAGTGTTGAGTAGGTTTAATAGAAAGACAAGGAATGAAAGGATAGACTATAGGATAAGTTCATCTGTTCTGCAAGACTATATATTCTACTTGTACGAATAAATATTTGAACAATTTCAAAAATAGTTTGGATTTCACCTAATGTTAGATCAACATTTCCATGCAAAAGCGTATCTAGAGGTAATGGATGATACCGACGCAACTTAATCAACATATCATTTCTTATGTCACTATAAAGTGGACATTCCATCAAAAAACCGGTAAGCTGTGTTTGCGTTTGATACTGAGACTTTGCCAGGGGAAATGTCGGAAAGCTAAGAGCTAAGTTTCACACGTAAATTGTAGTTTTAATTTTGGAAAGTACCCATTCATTTTTAATTATTTTATTTGATAGATTAAAAAAACCCACACCTACTGATCTGTTAATTTATGAAGATAAACACAAGGGGAAAAGAAAAAAAGTATTACTAAAACGTCTCTTTAAATATATAACGAAGATGTAACATAACTTAGCTTTTCGAATCAAAATCATATCTTAGTGTAACTGCCAGGTAACCTATTATAATGATCTTTCCTTAGTTGTAAATATATAAAGAAAAACGAACGCCATGTATAAAACCTGATAGTTTCATTTACTTTGCTGGACATCATGTACAGCGAACTCTGATCCAGTACCCTTTATCAACAAATCTGCCCCTGAGCATGCGAGAGTTATCCTTCTTCGATTGTTTGGATCTAGCGCACGAGGCCGCTACAATCGGATTCAGTTGAAACGCCATTTTCATGTTGTAACAACTCGAGGAAAGTGCAATTAGCAGCAGACGAGGCTACTTTCTGTTTGCCCGTGATCACCTGGGGGTTGGAGAGAAGAAAACATGACAGAGAAACGTTGAAGACATCTGCAATGAATGTTTGAATAGGTCTGTACAGGGACGGACCGATTGGCTCATCTTCATTTAATAAGATGCGTAGATGCATCGCATGAAGCGTTTCAATATTGTTTGAACACGCTGGTTACTGCTATACAATTTAGTCTTTAACTGGGGCGTCTTAACCAGGTCCAGTACACTCTGCCGATTGAGCTAGGTAGTATTCACCTATAAATTATAGCTGTATTGAACCATAATTTCTCAGATTTCAATTTTCATTAAATCAAAGCGAAGTCGCATAAAACAAAAAGGTTTATATGGTAATGTTGACTACAAAAAGTATAGGCCTATCCATTTAGATTTTTTTTTTCAATTTTCGTAAATGTAAAATTTCCGATTTTTTTTCATCATTAGTTTTAAAAAAGAAAACTTATATTTAATCTCTATTGTTATCAACCTAATGATAAAATCCTCTTTTAAAAGCGACTTTGTTTCGTTTTCCTTCAAAAAGAAAATCACATCAAAATTGCTCAATAGACCTATTTCAGATGGTCAATAGAGCTATTATAGGTCTTTACAGCTATATAGCTCAATCGGCAGAGTGTACTATACCTGTTAACAGTTAATACTCAGTAGTCAGTAAGAAATACCGTTATTATTGTTATTATACTAGTAGCAGAGCCAGTGTTGTAACCCAGCGATACCTTGCAGTTGCGGTACTTAAATGTGCTTGGGTTCGTGGAAATTTAAAAAAAAATCAAAATGTATTTGCCCTACAGTGTATTTGGCCTCTCCTTGGCAAATTTGATCTAACTTTTAATTTCATATGTTGTAAATCTTCTCTTAAAACATTTTCATGGGATGGAGATCTATGCTTCCCAAACAATTTCATTTTAAAGTGTTCAGTGAGGTAATTTAAAATGTTAGCTCTCTTTTCTGTTTTTTTGTTTGATGGAAGAAATAAAACATCCTATACATATATATCTGATCAATTATTTGATACCTTGATGAAGCTCATCAATTTAAAAAAAAAAGGCATGTGTCACATTGAATATCATTAAATATTTATAGATCTATCATCACTCTTTGGATAATTAACATAATAACACTGAAATTTCAATCTACGTTATGTATATGATGAAGAATAAGTCTGTGATTTGTCACTTAGTTATCAGCTGCACAGAACACAGCTGAAGATCCTACGTTGGACATGGCTACAGGTGGAGATGAAGCTGGTGTAATGGACATGGCCACAGGAGATGGAGTTGATACAAATACTGGTGATGCTAATGGACTGGGTAAGGCTACAGACAAAGGTGATGATGAAGGAATGGATACTGCTACAGGAGAAGAAGATACTGGTGGAGGTGACCATGACTATCCTCTAAAGACCACAGACATCACTTTCATCCCACTGACCGATTCGGTCAGATTGGGATACTGTAAGAGTTCCGACTGTGGCTGTAAATCTGTTCACTGTCCGTTCTGTGACAAAACACACTTCAAACCAGCCAAGCCTTCACGGGTTAGAGATCACCTGGAGCTGAAACACTTTGCACATTCAGTCAAATATGATGGTAAGCAAAAATAGATGTCTTTAAAAAGCAGCAATTATCAATCAGAAACTGCACTCAGCAATTTGTCTTTGAGTACATGTAATCTGGTTCTGTGAAAATATTTACATTTTAACAATTTGTTCTGACATGAAATGACGTTAATTTTATGTTTAACAGTTTTTCTTCAGTTCTTTTTAAGTGGTTTGTCTTGATTGATTTCAGATGTGATAATAGTGAAGTGTTTCCGGGATTGTGGTGACAAGCCTAGAGGTCACTACCATTGCCCAAGCTGTGCTAAACAGCTGTTGAAAAGAAATGCTTTTCATTCCCATCTGGTCAAACACATGAAAAGCATGGTAAGTCTGCACAACATGTTTATAAACTTCATCTTTCTGCAGAGGAAAATCTTATACATGAATGGTAACATTTCTAATTTGATATTTTTCTTACATATCGACAACTATTTGATAACTAAGTCATTTGATTGTTGGTATAACAGGAAAGAGAATAGTGTGCTTCCATCGGGAATCGAACCCGCAATCCCTGGGTTCCTATTCGGACGCTCTACCTCTGAGCTTAAGTAGAATTCCCTTTACCTATAAGTTAGAAGGTGACCGTAATTCTTATGATGTACAATTAAAATCTGCCACACTACTCCCCCCTTTTTAAATGTGTTTGCCCTGGAACACCACAACCCTGGTTCTAACTCCCTGTCACCACAGGGAGGGCCACAGACACCATTTATAACAGGAAAGAGAATAGTATGCTTCCACTGGGGATCAAACCTGCGATCCCTTGGTTCCTAGTCGGACGCTCTACCACTGAGCTAAAGGGAAATACAACCTTAATCCTATGTACAATTAAAATCTGCCCCAGTTGATAATAGACTGTGTCCGTGTATGGTTTTGTAAAACACATGTTTGAAGTGTTAACTTTGTGTGGTAGCTGATACTCCAGGGTGAGAGAAACATATATATATCCTATAAAAACTCATATCCTTAAGTAACACATATCTTAAAGAAACATATATCCTTACGAAACTCATATATCTTAAAGAAACACATGTCCTAAAGAAACATATATCCTAAATTAACACATATCCTAAATTAACACATATCCTAAATTAACATATATCCTAATGAAACACATATCCTAAAGAAACTTGTATCCTAATGAAACACATATCCTTTTTGAATAAACACATATCCCAAAGATACACATATCCTTAATAAAAGCATATCCTAAATAAACATATATCTTGAAGAAACTTGTATCCTAAAGAAACTCATATCCTACATGAATGTTCCACAGGGGAAATGTGTATCTTACATTAGAGGTAGGAGAAAAATAGGGAAGAATATTTAGATTTTTATACACCTATCAAACATATCACAAAGGTTGTTTTCTTCTCCTTATATTTCCATATTTTCATACATTTAGATACAATAGTACATCATAAGGATTTAAAGTAGGTCAGATTGGTGTGGAACAGGCTTATATTGTTTCGCTCTGTGGTACTCCTGTTAGTAGGTCAGATTGGTGTGGAACATGCTTATATTGTTCCACCCTGTGGTACTCCTGTTAGTAGGTCAGATTGTTGTGGAACAGGCTTATATTGTTCCGCCCTGTGATACCCCTGTTAGTAGGTCAGATTGTTGTGGAACAGGCTTATATTGTTCCGCCCTGTGGTATTCCTGTTAGGATGTCAGATTGGTGTGGAACAGACTTATATTGTTCTGCCCCGTGGTACTCCTGTTAGTAGGTAAGATTGTTGTGGAACAGCCTTATATTGTTCTGTCCTGTGGGACTCCTGTTAGTAGGTCCGATTGGTGTGGTACAGGCTTCTATTGTTCTGTCCTGTGGTACTCCTGTTAGTGGGTCAGATTGGTGTGGAACAGACCTATATTTTTCTGCCCTGTGGTACTCCTGTTCGTAGGTCAGATTGACGGGTGTATATTGTCCCACCCTGCAGTACTCTTGTTTAATGTATTTAGACTCCTGTTAGTAGGTCGGATTGTTGGGGAACAGGCTTATATTGGTCTCTCCTGTGGTACTCCTGTTGGTAGGTCAGATTGTTGTGAAACAGGCTTATATTGTTCCGTCCTGTGGTATTCCTGTTAGGATGTAAGATTGGAGTGGAACAGGCTTATATTGTCCTGTCCTGTGGTACTCCTGTTGGTAGGTCAGATTGTTGTGGAACAGGCTTATATTGGTCTCTCCTGTGGTACTCCTGTTCGTAGGTCAGATTGACGGGGGTATATTGTTCCACCCTGTGGTTCTCCTGTTAGTAGGTCAGATTGGTGCGGAATACGCTTATATTGTTCTGTCGTGTGGTACTCCTGTTAGTAGGTCAGATTGGTGTGGAACAGGCTTATATTGTTCCGCCGTGTGGTACTCCGGTTTGTATGTCAGATTGGTGTGGAACAGACTTATATTGTTCTGCCCTGTGGTACTCCTGTTAGTAGGTCAGATTGACGGGTGTATATTGTTCCACCCTGCAGTACTCTTGTTTAATGTATTTAGAACTTAATATATTTTATTCATATGGTGATTTTGTTTCTGCTTCAGAAAAAATCTCCTGCTTTGGTGACAGCTCCTGATGATAAGCTTCCATCCAAAATTGTTTTTCAAGGTAGTATAAACACATTTTTGGGGCATATTCAATAGTCATGTAATGTAAGCTAATGAGTTGGGTGTTATTAAACCATACTGTTATTCTAACTTATAAATCAAACTCATATTTATGTAATTTATCATAGATATATTAGGCCTGTCTCTATCTTAACAGTATTGCTAAAACATCTGGTAACATTCAAAACCATGTTTACAACAAAGCTATTTCAACATCTCTTTGCTATTTAATGACAAATAAAGCAAATAAACACTGCGTTCCAATCCAATTCACTGCAATTTACCTAGTGTAATAGCGAGGAGACAAGAGGCCAACACATTTCTGTCAGGTTTAGTGAATTTCTACCAAATCCCTTTTGATTAGTTCTGGTACAAAACTGACTTTGATTAGCTTTGAGTTAGTTTACCCTAGACCTATTCTCTGTGTGACTGCCATTGGAGAGAAATGACCCCCTTCCGTTGCTGTAAAATGGACAACTCTTTCGTAACTTTACTAGTGATGGACAGGATTTTTTCACAGATGATTATAATATCTATCACATTTTGAAGTGTTATAATATGACAACTCAGCTATTCATTATGAGTGAAAAACAAATTGTGAAAATTTCATGTTCACATTTAAAAAAAAGTAGAGAGCTAACAATGAATTATGATTTACATTGTATGTTGTGCAGGTGAAACTTTTGAGTTGTGTATTGAGCATTGTCAAACTGACATACAGGATCATTTCCACTGCCGGTATTGTGACGAGATTTTTGTGGACCGGAGCATGCTAATCACACACATGTGGAGATGTCAGAATGGAAAGGTTAACGAGTACACCAACACGAGACTAGGACAGGAAATGGATCAGTCAAGGACAGACAACTCTACGTCTGTGGATTGCCCTCACCCAAAAGATGTTGCAGACATAAAGGTACAATGTGACTTAGTGCTAGACAATTGTGGTACTCTAAACGACTTCCACATTTCTCGAGAAAGATGCTAGATAGCAAATTCAGAATGATAGGTGAGTTAGTCCTGGGGCCATACTAATTAAACAGTTGGAAACTCTTCCCTATAATCTTATACACATGCATACAGATCTAAACCATTATTTTACATCTTTGAGGAGTTCAAATCTTACATATTTCCTTTTGTCTAGAGCATCCTTGGGACAAGGGGAATTTATTTTGTCTAAATGATGGGTATATGGCCCCCCCCC